GGATATACACTACATAATGAGAATGATAAGAAGTTATTTTTTATAAACAATTTATTTCAATCACGTCTCTCCTCCTGAACATGCCTTTAATAGCTGACTATGCGGTATGGGCTTTGCTCAATGTTGAAAGCCGTACGGTGACCTATAGTTGTTGATTTCTGTGTTATTTGGTCAAGTGTCGAGAGTTGTCTCATTGGCAATCATACCACATCTTCTTTTTATTGTGCTTAATGTGTTTTTCCCCAGGTGGTGTTGATGACAAATCTTTGGTAGTCTCTGTTGAATGTATTCGTACCTTTTCTAGATTCTCTGAGATTTACAGCTATTGCTAAATTTAAGATCGTATGTTGACTTCGAGATATCTTTTAGTTTTTTGCTGTCTCATCAACATGTACTCCTCAACTCCTTTGAATCATAATTCTGGGATTTTGATAACTTTTTCGTCACGTCCTTAAGTGAAATTTGCAACATTATTGTTACCAGCTTAGTGTTACTTGAGTGCAAACAGATAGATTTTTTAAATAAAAAAAAACATGTTAATACTGTTTTTGAATGCTTGTATTACTAAAAACATGTTTGAAGAGTAAAAATTATTAAATACGCATTTTTCCATTTTGAATGCTTTAAAATTATAAATTCACATGATCTATTGTCAACCCATTTGGTTTAAAAATACTTGAGCTTTCAACTTCACGCTACTTACCATTTTCTAAGTCAACAATCTCTTAGAATAACCTGGCATGATGTGTTGTAAAATCCGTTTGTATACTTTTAAACCGGTCTGAAATTCAACTTATCTCCAATTATGATACATATATTATATAAGGTCATCATGGAAAATTAGAAAACAAAAGCGTTTATTATGAAGTTTGTAAATTATTTTAAAATAATGCTCATAGGTGTCTAAAGCATATGAGTAAACGAATTCACCGTCAAATCTTTCAGTGGGATAAAAATGTCAAAATAGGGGTACAGCAGTCAACATTGTATTATAATATTAATCACACTCCTTGGACATATTTTGTTTCTCCTTGCAGGATATACACTACATAATGAGAATGATAAGAAGTTATTTTTTATAAACAATTTATTTCAATCACGTCTCTCCTCCTGAACATGCCTTTAATAGCTGACTATGCGGTATGGGCTTTGCTCAATGTTGAAAGCCGTACGGTGACCTATAGTTGTTGATTTCTGTGTTATTTGGTCAAGTGTCGAGAGTTGTCTCATTGGCAATCATACCACATCTTCTTTTTATATAAAAGATTTGCCACTTGAAGTTAAGCAACCATCAATCAATCATTCAATCATGTATCGTCAATACAACCATTTTAACTGACTATACGGTATGGGTTTTCCTCATTGTTAAAGGCCTTGTGTTGACCTATAACTACTTAAATCCGCTTCATTTTGAATCAGATAAATGTCTCATTGGCAATTATACCACACCTCTTTATTTTCTATTGATACTATGACGTAATAAACAATTTTATATATGTTATATTTTCGTGTATTTTAGACAAAAGAGACTTGAAATTAAAATCTAGACATAGTTTCCGACGTTAGTATATGATTCACTGATTCTGTTTTCTGACATTCGGAGAAAGCAGAATATACTTACGCTATTGTTTAATTTGCTGTAAACGTTTTAGAATTTTTTTCTGGTTAATTTTGTGGCTGACTGATCGCATGTAAGTTTCATTTACCGTGTTGCCTGATTGAAAAGCATTAAGTTGGATTGAATCAGAACAAGGACTGAATGTTCATAATCAAACACAAAGTGATCAAATAGGAGGGTCTGGATGATGAACAATCAGCTGGGGTCATTTCTGTGATCTTTGATCATTTTTCTCTTTTCTTTCTTTTTGTGTCCATTATTCTTCTCTAATCAATATATGTGTGTATCCCAATATTCTCTATTCAATATCTTTCTTCTTTTTTAAACTATTTTTCTCTTTGTTGTATGTTTTTTTCCCTCGATGCTTTATGTTTTGTCCTTTGTGCTCTATTTTTGCCCATTATGTTCTATTCAGTAAACCCCATCCTGACCCTAACGTCTTATAGAATCAAATATAAAAATGTATTTATACATCCAAAATTGTCAATAAAGTAAGTTTACAAAAATAACTGCATTTGGACAATTTTGGATGTATAGATACACAGCCGCGTCTATCGTTCAATCGCGTTCTCGAATCCCGCAATGATATCTCGATTTGTGTTATTCCTCTTGAAAAAATAAAATATGTAAAGAGAATTTCCGCTCGCTAGAGAGACAGAGAAAAACAGTTAACCATTGGAAGATTCTCATCAGATTTTATACATCATAAATTAAAAAAAAAAACGTTCAAACTGTTTCCAGCGCTTTTAATCAGTGCACAAATTATATCATATTTTATGAATTAAGTGAATAAATTTACGACTTTAATCTTGAATACTTCCTCCTAGTTGAAGGTATAAACCAAACATTAACCAATCATAATACAATTTATTGGTATAACTAAATATTAAGTGAGGTTTCTGCATCCTGGATTTTGATTGGTTGATAGCCGGTGCATTTTTTAAAATTTCCTTGTATATAATGCATATCGTTCCTTTTTCACGACCGCGTAGTATATGCACAAGGGTTTATGCATTTTTACCCTCTCAGCTTTTTAGCCCTTCACGGAGACGCTTAATTGATCATTTGTGCGTTTTATTAGATTAATGCAACTGTTTTTGCTAACGACTTGATAGCAAAGGAAAAATGGAATTTAATCCAACCTTTAAATTAACCATTCCTATTTACATTCGGTATAATTAAAACCCATAAGATTCGTTATTCAAATTATAATGTAGATATTTTCACTACTTATATTATTTGTTGCCATTCTCCGAATTTCCAAATCAAGAACTTCTTTAGTGGTTGTCTTTAGTAATATTTAAAAGAGATTAAAGGGACATTCAAATTCATGAGTTGAAAATAAACTGACAACGCCATGGCAACAAAAGAAAAAGACTATAAGACAAACAGCAGTATACATAACACAACATAGAAAACTAAGGAACACGAACCCCACCAAAAACCGGGGTGATCCCAGATGCTCCGGAAGGGTTAGCAGATCCTGCTCCAAATGTGGCACCCGTCGTATTGCTCATGTAAGAATAAATCCGGTAAAATGTCTTATTTGATAGGTCACATTCGGGAAAAGAGAATGGGATTGTGGTTACGACAATTGAAACATATCTGTCGTCATCTGTGAAACAGATATCCCATAACGGTCAGCCAACTCGTGATGGCGTCAGTATAATTTTCGAAAGGATAATTTCAACTTCACCACTTGGAACTCTTGGTCTTAAAGCTTCCTTGAGAGCAGCAACCCTCTATCAAAGAAATCATGATAGAAAATGCAAGCCCTGGTATATCGTATCAACTGGGCCCTGCTTGAATGTTGCTACATAGAAATGGAAAGTTCACAATTGGGAAGCTGAAATTATCTCTTTTGTCGTAATGTTTTGTTCTCAACCGACCCTCATTGTGCTTAATGTGTTTTTCCCCAGGTGGTGTTGATGACAAATCTTTGGTAGTCTCTGTTGAATGTATTCGTACCTTTTCTAGATTCTCTGAGATTTACAGCTATTGCTAAATTTAAGATCGTATGTTGACTTCGAGATATCTTTTAGTTTTTTGCTGTCTCATCAACATGTACTCCTCAACTCCTTTGAATCATAATTCTGGGATTTTGATAACTTTTTCGTCACGTCCTTAAGTGAAATTTGCAACATTATTGTTACCAGCTTAGTGTTACTTGAGTGCAAACAGATAGATTTTTTAAATAAAAAAAAACATGTTAATACTGTTTTTGAATGCTTGTATTACTAAAAACATGTTTGAAGAGTAAAAATTATTAAATACGCATTTTTCCATTTTGAATGCTTTAAAATTATAAATTCACATGATCTATTGTCAACCCATTTGGTTTAAAAATACTTGAGCTTTCAACTTCACGCTACTTACCATTTTCTAAGTCAACAATCTCTTAGAATAACCTGGCATGATGTGTTGTAAAATCCGTTTGTATACTTTTAAACCGGTCTGAAATTCAACTTATCTCCAATTATGATACATATATTATATAAGGTCATCATGGAAAATTAGAAAACAAAAGCGTTTATTATGAAGTTTGTAAATTATTTTAAAATAATGCTCATAGGTGTCTAAAGCATATGAGTAAACGAATTCACCGTCAAATCTTTCAGTGGGATGAACACTTAAATATGATCACTGTATCCATTTAACTGTCGAAAACAGTACATCCATTGAATTACAAATGAGAGACACTTGACCATGACGAACTCAGTTGATATTTGAATTGTTTTATAATATTGTGGATAGAGCACCTGACCAATTGCTGTGACTGCCAGTTCATTCCCTCCAATACCTTTTGTTTACATTCCTGTTTTTTTTTTTAAATTAGACATAAAAAAGTATAAAAAATTCCGAAATCAAAGGTATATTCAAAGAGGGGAAGTCCATAGAAACTGACAAAATCATACGTTAACAACCAACGGAACGAGTGAAAAACAACAGTCATATTCCTAATTTATATGCATTTTTTTAATAACTTGAACAATATTTCAGAAAGTTAATTTGTAGAGAACATATTATCCACTACCAGTAAACAATGTTGTACAAAACGGTTGTCGTATGTCATACATGTTTTTCGTTAATGTTATAAATTAAATCAGGCTGTTATTTTTCTCTGTTGTATTGTTTAATATTTTCTTATCGGGGCCCTTTTAATAGCTGATAATGCGGTATGGGTTTTTTTCTCATTGTTGAAGACCTGTAGTTGTACAAAACCACCCTTTAGTCTCTTGGAGAATAATTGTCTAATTTAGCAATCATACCACGCATCTCCTTATTTATTTGGAAAGATATACAGACATGAAACGGACTTTTAAACACATGCATGTTGACAAGACTCACCCGGGTAAACAAGTTTTAAAAAAAGACGTTATACTTAAAACTTTATTTATTTTGAAAATTTTTAAGAGCACATATAAATAAATACATAAACTAAAAACAATTGTATACAAAATTCAACATAGGTAAACAAAAAATTCATAAATAATGTGGTTCAATAAATAAAATACCTCGAAATACAGAAAACGAGATGGAATGACATGAAATAAAAATTAAAACAAATAAAATCAAAACAACAACTTAAGGACTTTCACACCAATTCGAGCCCTAGTAATAATATTCATACACATGTACTTTAAACCTATATAATTGGTATGTTTTCTGTAAACGAGTCGTCGAAGTTAGTGGAATATCAGAAGTAAAATGTAGGGTAGAAAAAAAAACTACATTGATAAATGGAACATGATTCCGTCACATTCGACTATCAGAAAATATATAGAACAAAATTACATCTATAAATGGAACTAGATTCCATTCTATTGTACTTATGTTGCACTTTGTGAAAAATTTGTTTTCTTCCACTCCTTCAAATAAGAAACTTGTAGATATGATTTTGAGATATGAAATATTATTTCTTTTCACTGTGTTTACAGCTTGTAGTTTCGAAAAAAGATCAAATTTTTAGTTGCCGCAACATTTATTGTTTTCAAAATTTTATTTCTGCATCCTTTATTTAGAAAACAACCTAACTGATTTTTATGAAAATGAAATTATATTTCTAATTTGTATATATTATCAGCTTTTTCAAATAAATTTTACAACTTGAAACCGCCGGGGGACTAATAGACAAAGGTATTAGTCACAGTTGAAATGTATGTTAAAGCTATCAGATAAAATCGAAATGTAACAAGTAAAAAACCACGGTGTATCCGCGGTATCCTATACCGCATACAGCTGTTAACTGGTAACCAATTTAACCGTTAAACTCCATAAGTTTTACAGGAATCCAGTAGCGACCTAATGTACACATTACAGCAACAATAACTGTCATACACGTCGCACATATCTGGGACTATTATACTATATTATGTCCCAGCTCATACCAATAAAAAAGAACTAAATTTTCGTATTTTTTTAGGACAAATTAATAAAATGGTCACTTACGTAACTGCATAAAATTACATAAAAGAAATATTGCACATTTATAAAATATCAAACTTAGTATAACATAATATACAAATAACAAGAATATTGCACATTTCCAAATTCACAAGTATGATTAAAAAAAAGGAGAATCAATAAATTCATCTATCGTTCCAGTTTAAAGTATTTTTATATAAAAGATGTCTCATAAATTTATAAGGTGACGAATATTGTTTATATTAATTGAATTAATATATACACCATGGTCTATATAATAATTTGACTCCACCTGAAACCACCCAACAATGGCACTACACTAGACGTCATTCTTCCATTTAAAACTACAATTTTAATACACTTCCACATGACTTTGAGTATGTGGTGGATAATCCGAAAATGAATTGTTATTATCGTTGATATCAGGGGCCATCATCCGGGGACCTCCACCAAGTATGGTCATATTTTCAATTGACATTAAGTGCGAGCCAGGGTGATTGGTCATAGGAATGTTTGGAGACTGTCGACCTATAAACCCAGAAGAGTTGGGCGGAATGTTAGAAAAATGAGGCCATGAATCCATCGGAGGAGTTCCGGGTGGCACTACTGGCACCTGTCCCATGTTTGGTTCTCTGTCTAATGGCTGTCCAGAACTAAACATATCACCAGACAAACGACTGTTGTCAACATCATCGAGATCGTCAAGGTCATCATCAACTAGAATGTATTATATTTTTATGCTTTTAGAACAGATTCTATACAGGTTTGATAATTGTTACGTTTTTAATTTAGGCTTTTGTGTTGGGATGGATGTTCTGTTTGTTCGTATAATAATCCAATAGTTAAAATAGATAATTATGTATTTGTCTTTCTTTAGTAAGTCAGCAATATTCAACTTTTTTATAAATATTTTAGCGGTAATACTTACTTCAAGAATAACGACAACGTTTGTAAAAGCTTATTGTTTCTGAGACGATTTTTGCTGTTTTACTTAATCTATATTGTTTGTTGACCCGAACGTTTTGTGTATTTTTTCTCATCTGTTGGACACGAACGGATTAGATGACAATTTTTTTTATAAATTTACACGTTCTTGATCAATAAGTTGATATCACACCGTTTAAAACTACCTACTTAAAATACAAAAGGAAATGAACAGATAGTTTTAATAGCATTTTTTTCAATGCTTCTGATGAGCTTTTTTGTATATTTTTTTTAACGGACTCGATTGAATCTAGTTATCCATAAAAGTTTTGTTTTTTTTTCTCGTTCCGGACACGTCCCGGATAGTTTTAATATGTCACGTGGATTTGATATGAGTTCTTCCAATATATTTTGTTGCATATATTGAAGTGTATATTGTTTATGATTATTCAAATTTCCCATTTCAAGTTATTGAACATATGAAAAGAAAACCACTTATACACATTAACAAATCATAGACCGTTCACATTTTTTTATTGACCGCTTACATACATAACACAAAATTTACGATTTGACACCATTGAGTGTATGCTAAGAATAATCTGTACACCTACAACTCGTATACATTGGAAATGTGTGTGTCCTTGAGTGCTATCTCATCGACATTTACCAATGCCCCCTCTTATTCATATTCTATTTCGGTCTTAAGTTAATATGATTAAATTCAAAACTCACTGTATGGACAATCCAATAAACCATCATCTGATCGATCATCGGCACTCTGAGAGCTATCTGGATCACCATTACGCTTAAGTTGTCGGAAATAAGGACTCCATCTTTTCCGTCCTGCGTCCTTTTTTAGACGCTTTTCTTTCGCTCGTCTGTTTTGAAACCATACTTGAACAACCCTCATATCAAGGCTAGTTTCCGAACTTAACTGTTCTCTGACATGTCTTGCTGGCTTCGGGCTTTCGTTGTATGCTCTTTTTAATGCTTCTAGTTGCTTTGCATTTATTGTTGTTCTTGGACGTTTGTTTGCAGCATCTAAATCATACTCTGGTAATAAGATAAAACATGTTGAAACTGTAGACAGAGTACAAAAAACTCATAAAAGATACCAGGCATATAATTTTGTACGTCTTACAATTTTTTCAACGCTTATGATTGCTTTTCTCGTTCCGGACAGTTGTAATATGTCACGTGATAAATGAGTTCTTCCAATATATTTTGCTGCGTATATTGAAGTGTATTTTCCTATATAATTCTTGACATTTCTCATTTCAAATTCAAGTTTCGTCAACAAAAGACTCATTAGTGACGATCGAATTAAAAAAGTTAAAGGCAAAAAGTACAAAGTTAAATAATGAATCGCTGCAAAAAGTATATCCTCTGTTTCCGGAGGTAAACAGCCATGAATTTTTCTTATATAACTCTTTTATTTTCAAATATAAAAAAGTTAACATATTGTTGTAAAATGAAACCATACATTTTATAGTACACGATTTTCTATAAAGCTGATAATGGCATATTGAGATAGCGAGTTTATACACTCTCAAAAGAAAAAAAAACTTTTTTTATAACCCGAATTCAGTAAAACCAAAGTAATGTCAATTTTTCAAATTAAAAAAAATACATTTTTTATTTGAAAACTATCTTTTAATGTCGCTGTTAATGCTTTCATCGAGTGTGCTGTATCCTCCCAGAGGGCAATGAAAATCATCATTTTTAATTCAAGTGTGTCATTTTGAGTGACAAAGTGTATCTAATTGCAGTTTGATTATGGAAATAAACACACTACCTTTCAAGGATTAAGTAATAACAGTGATCGATCACCGAGGATCGCAGGTGTCGCAAAAAGATAAAGTATCTAAACTGAGATGAAATATTCTACCTAAAGCTACCTGCAAGGTATTAAAATCAGTTTATAGAGAATTTACCGTATTTCTCAATTCCCATGGGCTAAATGGACGTCTCAGAAGGAATATTATTCAAACCATAGAGCAATTTAAGCAAGATAGATTATGGGTTTAAAATACTATAGCTAGAACAAGTTATATTTTACGACAATGTATTATAGCAGTATCGCCGAATGACGGCATCATGACATCCGGGAAATATGAAACTTATAGGGATTCTGAAACCTTAAAAAAGCACATTATTCAAAAGAAAATTGATTTAAGAGAATTTTGTAAAACCTTAAAACAACAATGCAGAATCCTGAAATTCCAGATAGATTCTTCTTTCTAAGCTTTATTGACTTTTTATTATGTTATTAAAGGAACAAAGAAGATAACAAACTGTCATTTTATTGAAACAACCACCATCACAACTGAATACAAATTAGCAAAGCTGGTTAGTAATACTAAATCTGTACTACGAATTGTTTGCTTTGTTTTATTTTTGATTTAATAAAATTAAATTTAAAAAATGAAGAATTGCTTAAAATCAGTCTTCTGGTACAAACTAAGAGATTGATTGATAAACAGCATTCTTTTAAATTTAGAATTTTCATGAGTTTTCCTCTTTAATATAAATAAATTACACTATAAATATATGCAGCTTTCTTAGATCTGCTATTCACGGAATAAAAAATGTCTGGCGTCGAATGTTGTTGCATATGAAAGAAATCATACTGCGTAATTTACAAAATTTGGGAAATTATCATAAATTACGGAACATATCTCCCTCGTACAAAGCTCTGATTCCTTGCCCATTTCGTCCTTTTTGGTTTATAAGCCCTTTATTTTTTAAATAATTTTTGGCATCGAGCATCACTGAACAGACATAAGTTGTCGAAATGCGTATCTAGTGCAGAAAAATTGGTACCGTCAATGTTATTTCATATGTAGTTTCCAAATGCATGTTCACATTAAATCTTGTAATGGTTATATTATTTATAATGCATGTAAGTCTAGGAAAATGTTCTTTTAATCTTTCTGTTTGGTTTAACAGACTTGATAAAAATTACAATTACACTGTTTTCCTTCAATCATTATTTTTTGGTGGAGGCGAACATCAAGCTGATTATCTATAGTTCGAAGAAAGACTAAAATGTTCCGTTTGTTTCTCTGCTATGGGATTTTATACAAGTTTTATCTGGGCATTGCAAACGACCACACCTTCTTGTATTGTGTATGACGAAGAAGTAGAGCCATCGATATTAGAACTAAGAACGTCATGATTTTATATCAGTTATTTGTTTCGTTGGGCTGCTGTCTCATTGGTGTATACCCAAAATCTCATTTTTGTTTTGTTTATTTGTAGTTAAAACAATTTATAAAAACTATTTTATCTTACAAATTAGTCTGTTATAAATTTAATTGTTTTTGCGTTCAAGCCACAATTTCAATTTCACACCGGAATAGACAAATATTCTATTTCAAAAGTAAGCTTTACTTAAAAGTTCAATTCGTTTACAGGATACATGGCATTGGATTTCTTTTATTAAGTTTTCCGGTACGTTGCTGGGTTTTGTTCAAACCTACCTCTAGCTTTTGCTGATTCATAATCTGTTTTACATACAAGTTTTCTATCTTCCATCAGATAGAATTCGTCTCCAGTATTCAACTGTCTACCACACATTAAACAAGCAAAGCATTCCAGATGATAAACATTATCCTGCGCTCGGCGAACCACCTCTGTTGGTGGTATGCCCTTTTCGCATCCTGCACATTTTGTTCCAAATCGCCTGAAAAATAAAGATAAAAGAATTATTTCAACGAAAAACTGAATTATTACAAATATATTGGCAACTGTTATAATGAAACGTCTTTACAACCGATATATAAATGTTTGTTTTACCTTCTTCTCAAATAAATATAAAAAAAAAGAAACTTGTACAAAATATGAAAAGGAAGATGTGGTATGAGTGCCAATGAGTCAACTCTCCATAAAAGTCACAATGTGTAAAAAGTAACAATTATAGGTCAAAGTACGGCCTTCAACATGGAGCCTTGGCTCACACCAAACAGCAAGCTATAATGGGCCCCAAAATGACTAGTGTAAAACAATTCAAACAGGAAAACCAACGGTCTAATCTATATAAAAACGAGAAACGAGAAACACTTATGAACCACATCAACAAACGACAACCAATGAACAAGCATATCATAGTTGCGTGATAAAAATTAACTGGAGTCTTTTAGTAGACATTTAATTGATTACTAGTTATACATATAACCAAAAATACTGACTTGGTACATTGTGAGAGGGTGAGATTGCTTTAACGAAGTTCACATAAATCGGTCCTGAAGGTCAACAATAAGTTTAAAATCGGTCCTGAAAGTCAACATTGGTTAAAAATCGGTCCTGAAGAACAACCATGGTTAAAAATCGGTCCTGAAGGTCATCGGTTTCATTAATAAGTTTGTTGGTCAATTTGTAGTTCATTACCGTTTTATTTTGTACTTTTATAAACGCTTTTGGTTATAAAATCTTTTTGCAAGTTTAATGACTTTCTGTCGACCTATAGAAACTGCGATGAACTGTCTGACTTTGACTGCAATCGTGTAAATAAAAATGATATATCGCACACTTAGTTGTACAATATTTATTATGGAAGCCCATTTTTACCATTAGCAGTCTGATAACTTTGATTAAATGTATTAAATCGTTTTCTCACGGAATTACAGGTTCTTGCTCTGAAAATACTATAAAAGTGTCCGTAAAATGGGACAGAATTATCCTTGTGCAAACTTTAGAAGAGGTTAATAGAATTGTAATTATATTCATGATACAGCTATATACTACATAGCATTTGAAATACTGGTGGTTTATCTGCTTTTTAAATACAGTTATTTCTGACCAAATTGACTGTATAGAAATCTCCAAAAGTTCGAACATAAAACACACTTTGCACTTCTGATAAATACAAGTTCAAATAAATAAGAAACATGAGGCCATATACAAATCCTCGCTATATCTAAATCCCATTAAAGATTATTTTCATGAAAACTATTTAACGAACTATTGTAAAAAAGATCAGTGTCCATGTCAAGTTATTATGGCTAGGTCAAAGTCAGATGTCAAAAGCCGTCATATAGGAAATCACAGGGAGCTTTGCAGGGTAAGCCAAAGAACACCGATAAGCTATTTTTTAGAATATTTTATACATACACATACTTTTGAAACCTGTGACCATTTTCAACTTATAAAAATGGATCGAAGATGTAAGTAAACAACTCGTTCCCATCAACCGTATAAAATTTACATAGTATTCCACAGTTTTATTGGGACTATGAAGTTTGTAGTCTTGAAGAATATCAAAATGTTTTTTTAGTTTGTTCATTTATGACTGCTTCATCTTTATGCGACAAATTTTTTTTCATTTCATGAGCATCTATATCCTACATTAAATCTGTTCGGTATTATGAAAGTATGAGCAAACACGTCAATTATGACACATTAGCATAACCAATCATTGATAAAACGAAAATTGTTCAAAAAGAATTTAATATGCCTGCATGCAACAATTGTCAAAAAATTATAAACATGTCCAACATTTTATGGTTAATTATCATCTGAATTGCAAGTGATTGCAGGGTTTATAATTGAGAGTGATTATTAGATTCGACTCAATCAAAACAATTTGAGACATCCTTTCGCTCCACATCATAACTTCATTTCCTATTGTTTGTTTTTCTCATTAATCATGACACATTAAGAAAAGCAAACAAAGGATAGGCTTTGATATCTAGCAAAAATATTACATGGTGGAAAAATTACATACAATATGAAATCACTATTAGCAATAGACGAGTTTCAATTTCTTCCACTTCATTTACTGTTTACGAAAATTAGTAGAATTGAAACGATACTTTTTTTTCCAGATTTTACATGTTCTTTATCACTTAGACGTTTGACGTAATGTTTTTTTTTTTTTCTTTTTCAAAAGCGTATTCTCTGGTAATTTAAAACATTACAGTGCACATGAATTATTCAGACTGCGTCAAGACGAGGCAGCTAATCATATTAACGAAGTCAATTCATTTGAGAGAAGTGTAAATGACGAATGGACGAGAGCATTACCGGCGGGAAAAACATCAACTTACTATAATTAATTAATGGAATATCTACTAAAAAGACTCCAGTTAATGTATATCACGCAACTATGATAATATTCTTATGTACTATATATCATATGAGTTTGTTATTTTTTTTTTATTTAGAAGTCTTCATGAATGATAATTTTATTTTGTTACACACAGAACCTTATACAATTATGCTGAAGACAATACTCTCTCTGTCTTTCAGCAGTCCCTATCATGACCATCTCATATCTATATTACAAATTGAGTCTCAAGTGCTCGGACTGAGTGGTTCAAAGAAAATAAGATGCAGGCAAATCCTTATAAATTTCAGGTTATTGCTGTAGGAAAAATAACCTTTGAGAAAAACCGTCTATCCAAATTCAGCAAAATATTTTATCATGTGAAGAAACCGTCAAGTTACTTGGAATTGATATTGATTACCAACTCAAATTTGATGCACATAAAAGTAAGTTGTGTATAAAGGTATCACAACAGCTGAATGTTCTCAAGAGAATTGGATCCTATTTAACCAGATTAAACAAACTTACAATTTTCCCTACTTCATTATGAGTAATTTAAATTTTGCCCTTTGGCTTGGCATTTTTGTGCAGAGAAAAAATCTAAAAAACTAGACAAAATACAAGAAAGAGCATTAGGATTCGTCTATGACGACTATTTATCACCCTGAAACTTCTTTAGAACGCAAAGGTTCCAATCCTACAAGTGAGACGCATCAAGACAATGGGACTCGAGAATTTTTTAATAATTTGGCTCCTTTATGTTTACAAAATTTGCTTCACATTAAACACACTAAATATTTTTTTATATACAGTAACATCTTAGAATACCACAAGTAAGAACTACCTAGTATGGTAAGAAACCGTTTAGCTTCTCTGCTGCTTCTTGATGGAACAGTTTACAAGACCACTTAAGAAGACAGCTTCACAAATTTTAGAAATCTTTATCAGTCCTGTAGTGGATCGGACTGATTTTTGCTCTGTCTGCACGTAATTGTGGATACATTTTTCATGCATTTTTATGCTGCATAAATAACTTGCATTGCAACTTAAAAGTTTAACTTTTAGTAATTACGAAAATTATAGCTTTACTTTATATCATTTACTGAAAATTTTTAGTTAATTTAAAAAAAAAATATCATTCTGTTTTATAATGTGTCTTTGTGCTTCATATATATGCTTTTGGTGTTTTTGGTGTTAGCTATATACACACGTTTTCTGTTTGGTATTAAATTAATAATAAAGATCCAATTTTTTTAAATCTTGTGATACGTTTATTTGGCAATCGCCAATGGCAGTCAGCAGGGTTTAAGAACAACCGTTGTTCGACCTGTTAGTCAAATGCGTTTTGTTTAAATATACTTTTTCACTTTGTTGGTCTTTTGGAAAATGTTGTTTGTGCTGTATTTAGACCCCTCTACCAAGAAATTTGTTTTGCATGCACACGTATAAAAATTGCGGTTTTTATCCAACGCAATCATAGGTTTGAACGTTGTTTTCAATTTAGACTTATATACATGTATATATATATATATAAGTACGTCTGAACCAGTGACGACTCTACAACAGATTTTATCCATCGGATCACCAGCAGTGATGGTGATACAAGGCTGAAAATACATTCTGTATATATAATTCGTCTAAACAACAGTCAAATAATGTTAGATCTGTAAATATGCGGAAGCAAATTTTTTGTTCTTCCCTGGCCAGGATTCGAACTCATGCTACTGAGATATCGTAGCACCAAATCGCCTTGCACTATGCCCGACGCGCTAGACCACTCGACCACCTAGGCTCTATATTAAGAAAGCTTATATATACAGAATGTATTTTCAGCCTTGTATCACCATCACTGCTGGTGATCCGATGGATAAAATCTGTCGTCACTGGTTCAGACGTACTTGTAATATAACTATTTCTGTGACTGCATCTTACATTAATTTGTAGGATCCTTTACAATAGATAATTCAGCTGATCTGTAACAATTCCATCTTCATGCCTTATATATCATGTACTGTGTTACGACGCTAGATAAAAACTGACGAGGAAAGGTAACACCCGGCCACCGAAAGCTTTATTATTATAGAGTCTAGGTGCATAGTGCAAGGCGATTTGGTGCCACGATATCTCAGTAGCATGAGTTCGAATCCCGGCCAGGGAAGAACAAAAAATTTGCTTCCGCATATTTACAGATCTAACATTGTTGGGCTGTTGTTTAGACGAATTATATATATATATATATATATATATATATATATATATATATATATATATGCTTGAGTAACGTGGTGCTGTTTTATTACTATTTATTTCCATGCTGCATGCCTTGTTTTATTTGTTATTGTACATATGTTTTATTTTCGGTGAAAAAGCTAATCAGAGCTTACGTTTAAATTGTTTGTCAATATGCCGAATCAAAATAAAGTTTTACCTACTTACTTACTTAAAACAATCTTCAATGATATTATACAATCAACTTTCCGTCGCATTGGGATATAAGTTCTTGGCTTGGTTAGTATTTGTCTGTTTAACCATGAAAATGCTGTATACTTCTTCCATGTTAAAACGTTTAAGACTTCAATGCCAATTATGATAATTATAGCAACAAAGCCAGTGCATCATAAATTAATTTAAAAAATATA